TGGGGAAACCTTAACAATGGAGAGGGTTAGAAACAATACCTTAAGGCGAAAATACTGCCACTAAGGGGACATTTTAACGATGTTAAGGCGAAATATAGACAAAGGCTTTTTTGCCCGTAATAATTATTATAATTTGTTTAATGATCTATCTATATATGATACTCATAAATTCTTACTGGTAATTAATTCCTCACAGGTTTTGGTAACGGACCTCTTAGTTCTTTCCGATCCTTCTATGTGACAATAGCAGCATTCAATAAAGTCGGATTGTCAACAACAGCATTCTCTGATGAGATCAAGGTTGATAGTTCTCCACCAATCCCAGGGCTTGTTATAGAACTTTCTGACGTTAGCGTTTTATCACATAATGGATCTGAGGATTCAATTAGTATGTCTGCACTATATATTTGTGATGATGAGAATGACGATGAAGGTAATCATTTGTTTTTCTTTTTACCCGTTTGATTTTGTTACATAGATACATTTGTCACATTTCTGAAAATTAAATCTTCAGATTGTCAGAGACAAGACGCTGTATGTCAGACATCGCTCACTTCGGTTGCAGTTGCTTGGCAACCATTTATTGAACCAGAGTCATACATTACAAGGTAAACCACACATTATTTGAAATAATTTTGATTTGTATACTGTTTTACTGTAGTTCTAAATATATTTCAATAATAGACGTAGATGCGTGTACAAGTATAAATTTCCAAATACTTGTCGATACAATAATAATTATTGAAATAACAAAGGCAGATAATAGGAGATGTTCCTGCTGAGAACTTACGTTTGCCCAAATCACAAATGAACTCTAACCTGTGATGGAATAATTAAATGGATTTTTTTTTCCAGTTATGAAATTGCCATAGGAAGTGAGATGGGAAAAGCAGATATCTCAAATTTTCAATTGGTCTCGCCATATATAACTCACTATGAAATCACTGGCTTAGACCTAAGTGAAGTTCGACAGGTAATTACTGTGTATCTAGGTTGCACATTGATAGAAAATTTAATGGAAAATAAATTCAGGTGTTTTTTGTGATAAATATTTTCAAAATATAAAACAAACTAGGGTCTGCAAACCCTTGACTCTTATTTGAATATTACAAAAGAAATGGCTTTTCCTGAAAATAACATATGAAAGATACATAGTGTAAAACAGTAAAGTATGGAATGATTTAGTTATGTACATTAATGATCATACACCACAAATCCTTAAACAGAACAGACTCATTTTCTCAAAGTGAAATTAAGACTTATAGCATGATATATATTGTTCAATGATAATATTATCTTTTTTAAGGTCTTCGTAATGCTTAAGGGAACAAATGCTGCTGAACTGTCTGCCGTTGCTATGTCAAATGGGGTCTTCATAAGTCGCGTTTCTAGTGGACTTGAGCCTCTCGGAAACCCGATAGTTAATGACGGAAATTCAACAGCTGAAGACATGTAAGAAACTTAATATAAATGTAGAGTTATAATTTAAGTAGCGTTTAAGTACATTTCATTGACAGTGTCTATACGTTATTCCGTTCGTCCAAATTAATCTATTCAACTTATTGTAAATCTAGAATATTGGTTTGTATTGTTTTTCATCAAGGAGGTGTTAAGCTTAGATTAGTTTTATTTAACTATACCTTACTATACCTTTTGTCAATTATTAATATGATGTTATTATTATAAATATTGTTGTTGACTATAAAGTTGAACTACTACTACTAACTACTATGTGTTTAGGCTAAAATGACTGCAAATCCTATGTATGTTTTAAATTATTAATACTAATTTTTTTTAATTTTTTAGTTCCTATGCATGTAATGCAATAGGAACTATTGTAATCACTCTTGCTATTTCCTAT